TAAAGCAAATGAGACAAAGAACATTTGAATCGGCAGACAAATGTGGGAAACTTCTGTCATGGCAATTGAAAAAGAGACAAAAATTGAATACTGTGACAAGTTTGGAAATGGATGGAAAAATTATCCACAAACCAAATGAGATAAGCAATTGCTTTCAAAGTTTCTTTAGGAAACTATATGCACAAGGGCCAGTTGATGAGCAGGAAATAGAAGAATTTATTAAGAAGTATGGACTACCAAAGATCTCAGATCAAAGTAAAATGATTCTGAATGAGAAAATAACAGGACAAGAAATAGAGGGTGCCATTCAGAATATGCAGTTGGGAAAATCTCCAGGACCAGATGGCTTAACGGCCAGATACTACAAGGCATTGAAGGAATGGATAATACAACCATTGAAGGAGGTCTGTAATGAAATTTTGGAAGGGAAAAAGGCACCTGAATCGTGGAAAGAAGCTTTTATCTCACTTATACCGAAAACAGAGACTGAAAAGAACCAGGCCAAAAATTACCGCCCTATATCATTACTTAATGTGGATTATAAAATCTTTGCAGACATTTTAGCAAAAAGACTGAAGAGAGTGTTGATAGGGGAGATTCACAAGGACCAAACAGGCTTTCTTCCAGGGAGACATATGTCGGACAATGTGAGGAACATCATAGACATTTTGGAACTGTTGGAGGTGAACATTAATAGAAAGGCGGTCTTGATTTTTGTGGATGCGGAGAAAGCCTTTGATAATATTTGTTGGACCTTCATGAAGAAGAATCTCCAAGGGATGGGGGTAGGCCAAGGTTTTGAAAACGGTATAGGTGCTATATATTCTAAGCAAAAGGCAAAGTTGATTGTGAACAATGTGGTTACGGAAGAAATACCTATAGAAAAAGGCACACGACAGGGGTGCCCAATATCCCCTTTACTATTTATAACAGTCCTGGAGGTTTTGTTAAACATGATTAGAGGGGACCAATTGGTTAAAGGAGTTCAGGTCGGAGCCAGAAATTACAAACTAAGGGCATTCGCAGATGATTTAGTATTGACTTTGCAACAGCCAGATACTAGTACCAAAAGAGTATTAGAATTAATAGAGATATTTGGTCAAGTAGCAGGATTTAAACTGAACAAGCAAAAAACTAAAGTGTTGGAGAAAAATCTAACAATGGCAGAAAAAGAGAAGTTTCAGAGTGAAACAGGTTTAGTAATAACAAAAAAGGTGAAGTACCTGGGTGTGAATTTGACTTCTAAAAACGTGAATTTATTTAAAGACAACTATGACAAATGCTGGACAGAGGTGAAGAAAGATCTAGAAATATGGTCAAGGTTGAGACTTTCCTTGTTAGGCCGAATTGCTGTCATCAAGATGAATGTATTGCCTAGAATGTTGTTTTTATTCCAGACACTCCAGATCCTGGACAAAATGGACTGTTTCAAGAGGTGGCAAAAAGACATATCAAAATTTGTCTGGCAGGGCAAAAAGCCCAGAATAAACTTTAAGATCTTAACTGATGCAAAAGATAGAGGGGGGTTTGCCCTGCCGGACCTGAGACTTTATTATGAATCGGCAGCGTTTTGCTGGCTGAAACAATGGCTGCTTCTTGAGAACACAGACATTTTGGATCTGGAAGGGTATGACAATAGATTTGGTTGGCATGCATATATATGGTACGACAAGGTAAAAATACATAAAGGCTTTAAAAACCATATTGTCAGGAAAGCACTATACAATGTTTGGATAAGATATAAAGATCTATTGGAAAGTAAAACTCCCAGGTGGCTATCACCAATGGAAGCTAAAGAGACAAAAAAACTTAATATGGAGTCCAAATGGCCAAAATATTGTGAAATCTTAGAGCAAGATGGTGAAAGGGTTAAATTACAGAGTTATGACAAATTAAAGTCTAAAGTACGAGATTGGTTGCACTACCTTCAGATAAACGAGGTATTCAAACAGGACAGGAAAATAGGTTTTCAGATGGAGAGGTCGAAATTAGAAACAGAATTGTTAGAACCCAATACTAAGAACTTGTCAAGAATGTATAATTTGCTGCTGAAATGGAATACACAAGATGAAACAGTAAAATCAGCTATGATCAAATGGGCACAAGACATAGGTCATGACATTATGTTTGATGACTGGGAAAGGTTATGGAATGTTGGTGTTAGATTTACGGCTTGTAATGCTTTGAGAGAAAACATAATGAAAATGATCTATAGGTGGTATATGACCCCAGTCAAACTTGCAAAAATTTACCATTTGCCCAATAATAAATGTTGGAAATGTAATGAGACTGAAGGTACTTTCTATCACCTTTGGTGGACCTGCCCGAAGATTAAAGTCTACTGGGAAATGATCTATAATGAAATTAAAAAGGTCCTTAAATGGACATTTTCTAAAAAACCAGAGGCTTTTCTCCTGGGCATGGTGGGCCAATTGGTGCCCAGGAAGGACAGAACTTTTTTCATGTATGCTACCACAGCAGCAAGAATTCTTCTGGCAAAGTATTGGAAGACGCAGCAGCTACCCACTCTGGAAGAATGGCAAGCGAAGGTGATTGACTACATGGGAATGGCAGAGATGACCGGCAGAATCCGTGACCAGGGGAGTGAGACAGTGGAAGAAGATTGGAAGAAATTTAAAATATACCTTAAAAATTGTTGTAACATTGAGGAGTGCTGAGATGCTATGGTCTTAAGAAACAGAGAATTGCAGCTGTAAATCATAAATTTAAGGGAACTATAATGAAGATGAGTTAATTAATTAAATGGAGGGTTGCTGTCAAAAGGGAAAAATAAGGATGCAGAAAAAGGGAGGTATGGGGAAGTCCGGGAAATAAGGTGAAGGAAAATGAGTTTATGAAATTATACATGTTTATTTGTTTGTATGTTTTGTTTTGTTTTATTGTTTGTTTTTATTACATGATTGGAAAATTAATAAAAATTATTTTTAAAAAAAACAACAAATGTTCACAAGTCTCAGTTTAGCAAACTCACAAAAATGGAAATAAGCCCAGTCCATGATCATATAACGTGCCTGTACTTTGACCATTAAGGGTGTTCCCATTACTGCCTTCATAAGGGGTTTTTTTGGTGCCTTTCAAAGCTGTTTCACTCCCTGCCCAGCTGCTCACACCTGCAGATTCCGTTTGCTCCTGCTTGTCTACACGCAATTGACAGAATGTCTTTTCCCCTGTGCCATGGTGTTCACACTTTGACTAGAGAGGACTGAAGGACTCCAATCAGTGTGAAGCGGGTTTGAGAAACAATGTAGTATCGTACAACAAAGTATAGAATACATACCCATTTTGGTTAAATGTCTTGTGAACACAGACTAAAAACCAGAGCTGGAGACAGTATGTTAAATGAGAATGTGACCGCAGCCTTACGTTTGCTGAAGCATTTTATCAGTATCTGCTACAATTTATTAGTCATCTTGAGTCAGCTAATATCCACTTTCCATGGCCACATATCTAGCATACTTACCTGTATGACATAGACCGAATGAAAACAAGATCTGGAGCTGGGTGCCACCAGAATACTGTTTACACCAAACTCCAAACCAATCTCTAGTTTTCTCACCAGGCACCTTGCTGTTGAGCATTCCCTCTGCAACGCACTTCAGAATTGCAAAGTAATCCCCCATCCCCTTCTCTGGCTGGAACCAGCCACCATATTACAGAGCTATTAATTCATTACAGTACTTTTATTTGAATCAGTGGATTCCTGAGCAATTATTCCAAGCTTCAAAAACTGCAGCTTGTCTTTTGAGTAAGACTAGCTATGGTTCTGACCCATGACATGGCAGGTGGGTCCCCATTTGTGGAATGCCTACTAATATTGAGGGGTAATTTTAAAACACTCCTGTTCACCAAGAAATTTGGTGGCTAAAATAAACTTCCAAGAAATCCTTGAAATCAGCTGTGAGAATATTTGTCTGGCTTTAAATTTGCTATTGCATTATTTTGCTGTTCTGTTGTTTGACACCTTGGGCTCCTTTGGGAGGAAGGCAAGACAGAACTTTAAATAAAGAATGATGGTGGTGATGATGAAAATGGCAGGAAAGTCAATTTTCTTTGTTTCTCAAAATCAAGTGTTACGTTGACTATTGAGATATGAGGGGAACCAACAAAATGGTTACATAAACGCAGGCTTATCAGCCTTGAAGCTACTGGTACTCTCTATCTTAGTTGGTCAAGGTCCCAAGGTCTCAAAGTCATTAACCTTAACCTAGAAGTCAACAGCTCCAATAGAAATGGGTGAAGTGAGCTCCACCTTCTCAAACCCTGGGATCACACCTCCTGCTACCAAGAGGTGCACCTGCATACAGGTGCATGCAGACAAATGTGATTACATTATTTCTATGGCACCATTTCGTTTTGGGCTTGCAAGCAAAATCTGCCATCGCTCCTTCTTTCATCTCAAGTTAAGTCAGTCATGACTAGCAACATATTTCAATAGGTCTACTAAACACTATGGTTTATGCTGAACACAAGCTATGGATTCATAAAAATAAATTCCACTACTTTCAGTATCAGTAATTTGGGACAACCTAAAACCAGTCACATTTAATTTTTTTGCAAGAATTAATCTGTTTAGAGTTTAATCTTTAATTGCTTCTATTTGAAGCAAAATATTAGCTAGATAGCCAACATTATTTGATTTTGTATTAGACACCCACTTTGTACTGCCATTGTTAAAGACATCTCTTCCCTACTGGACCATTTCATTGGCTTTAACCTGTTATGTCCTCTCCCTACTCTTTGAAGGAAATGCTGCTTTAAAATGCTACACTGATGCTTTCGGGGGCGGGGAGTAGGACAGAATGTGAAAAAGTACTGACATCAGTCGAGGGCTCAAATATAGATGCTGCTACACAGGAAAAGTTTAAAAGCTAGTGGTGCATTCCTCAGTGCTATGGAGAAGTAGCAGATGTCTATGAGACTCAAGGAGAATGGACAATCAGTTCCCATGCAAGACCAGTCATATAAAACAAAGGACTCAGTTTGGCTTATGCAGGCACCATTTTATTATGAACTGAAAAAATAAACTATTTTCACTATTTGTGTATATTTGGCTAACATTTTAAATCGCCCCAAAACCTAACCAGTGACCAAAAATATATAAATGTATAAATATACAACTGTCTTTATTTACATTTGTACATACAAGTATATCAGCAGGATTGACAGTGAAAGTTTTTTGGCAAATGAAAATGGATAACAACAGTTTTTCCCCAAGATCTCCATGGACAGAAGAATTTGATATGTGAAAGACTTTCCTTTCCTTTTTTTTTTTAATGCCAGGGGAAAGCAATGCAGCTTATCTTCTAGAACCTGTGGTCCTCAATGTTTTTGGACTACAACACTCATCATTCCTCACCATAAGGCTGATGGAAGTTGGGGGTCCAATATCTGGAGCACCAGAGTTTGTTCATCCCAGCAATAGAAAGATTCACAGCACCAACAGACAGCAAATGTTGCACTCGCCAAAATCTGTGAATCCATTTAGGCTCACAGGCTACACTGAAGGAAAGGGAATGAGATATCAATAAAAGCTGCTTGGATATTACGGAATGAAGGCTATAGCAAAAAAGACTGTTTAATAAGTGCAAGCTCTTGGGATATTTTGAAAAGAAACTCTGCTAAGTTTATTTCCCTTCCACACCAACCAGTTCTTTAATGCTGGAGCCTTCCTTTTGCTGACTCTGCACCTACAGAGTCGTGGGGAGCCCTCCACATACTGCTGGGATTCCAACTCCCATCAGCCCCAGCCATCATGGCCAGTGGTCAGAGATGGTGAACACTCTAGTCCAACAACTAAAAGGACCTAGAGGAAAATAGCTGATCATTTGGGGCAACTCTACACATTTAAAGGGCACCATGACTTTCTAATGTCTCTTAATGAGCTAGAAGAGCAGTGAATTATCTGGCAAATCAGCAGAGGAATAGGTGAAGAGGAATCTAAAGGATTTTGTTACCAGCTAACTTAACTGGGTAGATGAAGAGATAGTGCTATTAAACCAGTATTTTCCACAGGTATGAGCAATGCAGAGCAGATGTATACAGAGATTTAGAGAGCAGCTGCTGTAATTTGCACTTGCACTAGAGAGGTGCTGCAAACAAATCATAACAGGATATTAACTGAGCTCCGAGTATTTCCAAACGGGCCCATTGTGAACCTACAAAGCTACAGCACAATTCTGCTTTTACATGGCATAATTTGCAGTTCGTGTTCAGCATCACATTTTGGAAGCCCTTCTTATTAGTGTTGCTGTGGTTAAAGTGGATTGATGCTAATTTGAATTGTTACTCACCAAACAGAATAGTAAAGTTATCACCAGAGACCAACTAGCACAACCCAACTAGCACAAACCAATTAAGACTATCTTCCAAACAACTGCTATAGCTAACCAGGAGTGCATCCAAACAACTGTTTCAAATCATGTTTTGGAGGTTAGTGCTAACCACAGTCTACCTGACTGAGACATCATGTCAAACAATGGTTAGAGGAAACAAAGAAATAAGAGACACCTGAAGGGTTAAGACTGAGAGTAAGAGCTGCAGTATATTCTCAACTCTCCAAACCATAGCCTGGATAATCAAGATGTGACATCTGAACCAGGTTTCTTTAGGCAATCTCACTGTTCTTTATTTCCTTCCAGAAGCGGATGATATAAAACTAAATTCCCAAAAGGTAATCAGAAACTTTGGAGAAGAAAAAGCAAGGTGTGGTCTTTTTCTTTTTTCCTTTTCAATCAAATATTTTAGGAAAGTGTACTGATAGGCATATAATACAAATAGCAAGGGACACTTGAAGATGGAGTCAGCGAGTGATGCAGTGAGTCTACTGCTACATCCCAGGCCTTGCTGGCACATGCTGGCCAGGGTGGAAGGTGTTGGGGGAAGAGAGTAGTTTCTCGCTTCTCTCTGCTGACGGCAGACTGAAGTAGAGGCAACCATGCACATTCCTAACACACCCACCCACACACCCAGCCATCAACATCAAGCAGGGTGGACAGCTTATAATTGCATTCTGGGTGGCATTTTTCCCGTGTCTCCTATCACGGACAGAGATACAGCCTTTGTCAACGTTGCTTGGAGACAAGAGGATGGTAGAAAAACTGCTGCTGTGTGGCTAAGGAGAATATAAATCTAAGACTTTGAGCCAATGCACAGGCAATATGATTCTAAACAAAGAACTCTCTCATCCAGGTAAAACAAGATCCGCAATCAACATGCACTTGTAAAAAGTGAGTTGTCTTGTGCTGTCAAGCATTGCAGATCTGCTGGGATGTTTCTCTTCTTGCTCTGCCACCATCAAATTTCTCTGCTCAGCTCTCCCAACAATTCAAACCAGAGATAAGATCAGACCAAACCCTCAGCTCCAAGCACACAGAGACTTTAGAAATTGTGTGGTTCTGAACGGCTTTGTCTTTTGCAAAGGCACAACAGTGAATATTCCAGCTGATGCCCTTGGCTACCCCTCATCCAAACATGTCATATTTAGCAATGTGATGTGGCATGAATCCCAGGATGAGTAGCACATATGAAAGGCAAGCAGAGATGAGAGATGATTCTCCTTCTGAAGATCCAGGAGACCTGGCAAAAGGTGAGGAAGTATTTTGCATTTCCTGCTAATCTGTCTGCAGTCCTCAAAAAAAGAAGGTACACTTGAGGATGGCAAGAGATGCTGTAGGTACTGCAAGCTGCAGCATGCTGTTCCCTGGAAGAGACAGATAGATTTCCATGTTTCTAGGTGAGCATTTCAGACTTCACCTTAAGTTATATAACAAACTGTTGGGGAGAAAAGGACCTGAACCAAAGAGACTGCTTTTCCATTTGTCCCTCAACCACCAGAATCTTTCTGCCTTTCCCATGCCACATCTCAGCAGTTGCAAGGACCACAGGAGGTCCAAAAGCTTCCTCCTATCCCACCCATCATCTTGCCACAGTTCACTTCTTCCTACGGATTTTGGGCTTCTTCACTGGGCGAAGATAGGGATTGTCTATCAAGTTCTCATCTCCATTCCGGCTGCCGGAAAGCGAGGTGTTGTGCTGTAATACCGATGCATTCTCCTTCTCAGCTCCCGGGTCATCCTGGCAGGTAAGACAAGAGGTGAACAATGTCAGGGTCTCAGCTGGCAAATCAGCACACACAAGAACAAGCAAGGCAGAAAGCAACAAGGACATGCAGGAGACAAACCGGCGAGGAATCAACACTGGCACACAGAAGAGTTGGGTGCCCTCTGCTGGCAGGCAACAAAAACGTGTTATGGAATTCAAAATGAATTTTCCTAAACTTTTGAAGATTCAGGCGTTATCCTGAACAAGGGATCATAGCGAGGGTTCGGGGCAAGGGGATACATGCACCACCCCACTATATTTATCCCATCCACATTCTGTTCCTACCACCGATGATGAGCAACTGAACTGGGGTGAGGCATTGGCCTAATTGCTCCAGCAACAAGGACATGGCTCCTCTTCTCCCCATACCACCCCTTGCAAAGTTTCACAGCCTTCTATGGATGCAAACATTTGCTGAGAAGCGAGTGCATTTCACAGGAGAAGCCCACACTTGCCTTCTGCCCCAAGCATATTCTGCAGCCAGAACTATGTACATAAAATGCATTTGCCCAACAAATGCCACTTGCAACATCTCATTTGCACTTAAGTGACCGTTTAATACAGTGTTTCCAGGAATCTGGAGCCAACGTCACGCTGAATCGAACCGAGTCTCTAGGCTCTACCGTGCTCACGTGCAAGGGGAGGTTCTCTGTGTCTGTCTGATCATCTTGTTCGGATGAATCCGTCTCCTCCATCTGCTGCATCTCCAATTCAGAAGGAAGCAGAGCTGTCAGGTAGGGTATTGAAAAAGGCCTGGCGGCTATCACTAGGGATAAAGAAGGAAGAAGACATGATCTCAGATACTGAGATCCATCTCTCAGGTGTCCGGCCTAAAAGGTTGGAAGTGAGAGAAAACGCAAAGAAAGCCATGGACTATTGAGATTTATTTCCTACTATGCAAGCTTTCAAGGTCAAGGAAAAAGTTATACCATAAACCTGTCACCACCAGCAGCCTACAAGTAAAGATGTCACCATCTGTGGTAGCTATGTAGAGGTTTATGGCAAAGTTACAACAATGTCATACTGCATATTTGTAATTTGCCTTATTGCAAATGCAGCTCATTTAAGGAGGGTTCATTTACAATATAGGACAGCCCAAAGGCCAATCTGGTGCCTGTGAGATGTTTTGGACCACAATGTCCCTGCTGGCCCTCCAAAACATCTGGAGGGGGCTAGTTGGATGAAGGCTGCGCTAGACACATAGCATCTTACTTGAAACAAGGTGCCCTGCCACTGGATTGATTGTCTTACAAGGGAAGGTGCTGACATCATCCTTGAAAAGACTTTGTGTCTCTCCTGTCTTTGCCATGAAGCGTGTCAGAGCTCTTTCAACATCCCGTCTCTGAGAAGCAGCCTTTTCCCGCAGGATCTGATAATCCGACACAGGCTCCCGGTACGTCTGTAAGGCAAAGAGAGGGAGGCGACAATGACTATACACAGACTTCAAATCAGTATTGCTTAGAGTCACTGGGGGCAATCCAGCTATTCCAGTGCAGTTAAGTTCACATCAATCCAGTAGACAACCAAATCTTCCTATTTAGGATCATTTTCAGAAATAACGGAAAAGGAATAGCTCAGTGGACTTAAAACAGTGGTCATCCACAAAGGCTGAAAGTGTCTCACAACAACTTGTCTACCATCTCTGGTCAGTTTTTTTAAGCAAGGCAGACCTACTTACTGGTGTCTTGATGTAAGTGTGAGGATCCGGAAACTCTGGGAAGTGACCAGGGATATGGGATGGGTGAGGCTTGTTCTGTCCGGCCGTCAGGGCTTTTGGAGTCACGGGCTGATTTGTTACAGGTGCTGCAATTGGAAAGAGAATTTCGGTCATGGCAGCCTCTGCCTCAGTGGTATCAGCCGAGTTTAAGAGGGAGGCAATCTCTGTTCAACTTAGCGCAACCGATATAACAAATCTATTTAGGCCAGAGCTGGGCAAACTTTTTTCTGCCTATGCCTGCACTCCTCAGGCAGGAATGGGGAACTTCAGGCCTGGAGCCCTCCAAGTTTGTATAGGAGGCTCTTGGGACTCAGTCCAGGCTATGCACACTCTCCTCAAACCACACCCCTCACTGGCTCAGCTCTGCACAATCCTCAAGTGCTTTTGCCTGGCTGGATTGTGTCCTTGAGCTGCAAGAATGCCTCTTGCTTGCCTGGATGGAATATGGAGAGATGTGTGAAGTGTTTGTGTATGTAGAAACCTCTGGCATCTGTGTGCCTGGAATGCAGCCTACTGAACAAAGGTAAGAGTGACATCAATTGCTTCCCTCACTTTTGGTCTCTGGCCCTTAAAGCCTTAAACATTTCACTGAAACCAAATGTGTGTGCTTATAGCACTGCAGCCAAAATTTCACTTCAGTCACTGGAACTCTGTTTCAGTATATATTTACCTACAGATATGGCATAACTCAAAAATATTAAGACTCTGCAAAAGTAGGAACAAGCCTTGGGTTACTTTGTTCTCATTCAAGGCCCAAGTCACACGCAACACATTTATTTAGAATCAAGTTCCACATATTTCAACAGAGCCTACTCCCCAGCTAAGTGTGCTTAAAACTGCCATCTAAGATGTGCTTCTTAAGAAATGTTTAATGAAAAAGTGATCATGCAATAGCTTCAGCAGCCATGCAACATACAATTGGCAGAATACTAAATAAAACTGAGTTTCAGTCTGTGATAAAAGCTAACAAGAACATCTTAAAGGGATTCACAGAGCCTAAATTGAAAAATAGTGAACTGCTTCGCCAACTGAATAAGTCTGTTGCAGAAACCACTCCTTTCCCTGCTGAGAATATGGAATATGAAAAAGATATGGGCCCAACACAATTCCAAAGCAACAGAGCACATGTCCCAATAGTAATAGCCAAAGTTCCTTTTACAAAGTTAGTATGAATGAAATAAAATGCATGCAAGAGTTCACATACGGGCAGTGATCACCATCCGCTGGGACCGTTTGGCGTATGCAGGGAGTGTTTCCACATTAAAGCCTGAAACAGAAGAAAGCAAAGAAGCCTAAAACAAAAGAAAGGAAAAGTCATTCTAGCAAGCCAATCCATGGTGCGATCTTAACTCATCCACCACTGAAGCCCTGGCACTATGGCTACACTATGTGGGGAGGGAAGTATCAATTCACCAGCATTTGCTCTCCCTTCTCCCTTCTCTGATTCTAGAGGGATCCAGACAGAATAGCAGATAGGTTTACTTGAATATATATTCAAATGAATGAATGAGTGCCTAAAACACCGAATGGGTCGAATGGAGGTACGCCATCCACAGTAAGGAGGAAGATGAGGTGGTGGATGGATTGAACTTTCCGCTGCACAAAGAGGTGACATGGAGCTTCAATAGCAGGAAAAGGGGTTGGGCAGTAGGACTCTGGTATCCTTCCCAAAGATTCCCAAAGGATGGCAACCCATCTTTCATGCTCAATGGATCAAGCATCCAATCAATGGTACGTCCACTGTAGGAGTAATAGCTGTATCTGCTAAATGACTACACATACACAATCCCTTCTGACCTCTCCGCAACTGCCATGCCTGTACCATGTAATCCTGACACTCACCCATTTCAACTAAGGTGACGACAATATCTGAAAGGGTCGGCTGAGTCCTCGCAGTATGTTCACAGAAAGATTTGGCACTCCTCCCAATTTCTGAAATGTCTGGCAAAGCAAAAATCACCACAGAACTGAGAGTCAAGATATATCATCACATGCTCACCTTAGCACTATTCTGAATTTACAGAAGCTGAATCTCTAGAGACCATCATCCATCCATAGCATTTAGATTGCAGAGGAAGTGGGGGGAATAGAAACCTAGTATTCTACTGTGGAGTGCTCAGCATTTTTTAGAAAATGAATCCTTTCCCTCCAAAAAAATAGTAAGGAATATATAAAACAAGACTTGGTAATGGTGTGTGTGTCATATTCTAGGTCAGGCTTCCTCAACCTCGGCCCTCCAAATGTTTTGAGACTACAATTCCCATCATCCCTGACCACTGGTCCTGCTAGCTAGGGATCATGGGAGTTGTAGGCCAAAAACATCTGGAGGGCCGAGGTTGAGGAAGCCTGTTCTAGGTTTTAAGAACAGGAGTAAGGGAGAAGGTCAAGATATTTGATGCCATTTGCTACTTGCCACCACCAAACAAACAGGAATGTGAAAAAAATACATGAAACTTGGACACCTACATGAAAGCAAAGCAACACCGTGTGTTCCTATTCCAAACAGCTTATGTTTCCCAGTGGTCTGTCAGGCAAATCAAGATCACAGTTCTCATACTTTGTTAAATAATGTCAAGCAATCGCCAAAGGGCTTCAGTTGCTCAAAACAGAGTTTTGGCAGTGAAACTGATATGCAGGGTCATGCTGTCTACTTGATGGCAAGCACGTTAAATGGCAGCTCCAAAACTGTTGCAGCACCACACAGAAGGTGAAAGTGCTGCCAAACATCTCCCTTTCAAGCCGCTCCTGAAGAAGCAGAGCCCCCATTTTGGTCAGCTCCTCCTGCAGAAATTGCAAATGCCTGTGTCTGTTATTGTCATTAGTGGGGAGGGTTAAAGCTAATGTGCCTAATACTAGCAGTGGAGGTTTCTCAGTATTACACAGTTGGGGATACTCACAGCTCTGGAGCATCTCTGTCATGGTCTCCACAGCAGCCTTCTCAGAGCTCTCAAACCCAGCCTCTGTCAGCAACGAACTAACCACCACTTGAAGGGTCCTCCTTCGAGCCAAATAGTAGTTATCTGCCGGGGTTGAAGAGTGTTTGCCACCTGATCGCTGCTGGAACCAAACCCAACCAAGGAGAATGTGATTAGTAAAGGGAGCACATAAATAAGGAGCATGCGGAAGTTGTCAACAACGCCACTTAGGGTGGAATTCAACACTGTGCTATTATAAATGTTCCATTTGCACAAGTGTACAGTGGTACTTAATTCGTTCCAGAGGTCTGTTCTTAACCTGAGGCACGCTTTCGCTAATGGCGCCTCCCGCTGCCGCCACGCTACCACCACACAATTTCCGTTCTCATCCTGGGGCAAAGTTCGCAACCCAAGGTAACTACTTCTGGGTTAGCAGAGTTTGTAACCTGAAGGGTTTGTAACCCTGAGGTACCACTGTATCAGCTTGCCAAATGGAATGATCCTCCCTCCACTGGCTGCTTCCCAAGCCTATTTCAGGAGCACCGGGGGTGGGGGGGGGGGAGAAGGCCCACTGTGCAAGTTGAAGCCCTTGCACTAACAGTGTTCGTTATGTGAATCCCACCCTCAGTTACCGCTAAACATGTCTCAAATGGGTCCTTCTCCCAAAGTCCAACATGTGCTCTCATGTCCCACTTCTGACAGTGCTTCTGACAGTGTGCAAAATTAGCAAGGAAATTAGCAATGTGTGTGTGCAAAATTAGCAAGGAATTAGTCTCATGCTTACTCATGGGAACAGGTGTGCAAAAGCAACATCCCTGATTTCTCCAGTTAAAGAGGATCTCAAGCAGCTTTCAGAATTGCCTTTCCCTTCCGCCAGCGACCCCCGCCTTGGGTAGATGTGTTGCGTCAGGAGGACATAGTACTGGGCAGGCAAGGTGGAGAAATGGCATGGTTCAGTATTAGGCAGCTTCCGGAAAGGGGGAAGAAGATAGGGGGAACGTGTGTGTTCAGACGTGACCTCAAGATTCGTGCACAGATCTCGTGATCTTAGAAAGCGGTGTTTTTGCACGCATGTTTTGGGTGGCCACCTGCTTGCAACGTTATCTGTCTTTCTGCAAGCGCAGAATCGCAGAAGAGGGAATGGAAAGGCGCTGCCCCCGAAACCCAGAGCGGTCTGAAAGTGATCGGCAGCAAGCAATGGCGCCCCGCAAATCAAGAGGCGCCCGTCTCCCACCCAGAACCTCCCCCTTCCTCGGTGTCCTGACGCCGCCCCGCGCTGTCCTGAGAGCCTGCGGCGGGCACTTGGTGACCACAAAGCGGGCCCGCAGGTGGGTCGTGCCCTCCCCTCCAAAAGGGCTCCGGAGCCCCAGCCTTACCGTGCCCGAGCTACTAGAGCCGCCGGTCCCCGTGTCCGCCATCTTGGCTCCATGGGAGGATGCGCGCATGCGCCGCTACGAACAGCATGGTGGGAGTTGTAGTTCGCGGTGAGGTGGCGCTCCCCTCTGGTATTCCTATTGATCGAGAGGGTTAAGGGCTGGTCCAGCAGGCGTCCCCGCAGGTAGAGGTTATAGTTGCCCTGTCAGAGAAATTGGGGAGGGGGGCACAGGCAAGAAGGGCCCCAGGCAGCTGTAAGCAAAACGGTGAAACAAAAGTGATCCTGCATAGGCATGACAACGAAGAGGGTTTTGGGTTTTTTGCATCCATAAAAAATTTTGGGCTTTGCCTCAGATGCCTGCAGTGTTTTCCTCCTCACGTGGCCGAGTGCGCGCGGTTCAGAGGTGTCGTAAACAATAATTTACTGTAAGCAGATGAAAACATTAGCAGGATTTTAATTTCACTTGTAACGTGACAAATATTATGGATCATATGGATGGATATAAAATATAGAGTACGGAATGATATGCAGTTGAAAATGTTGACAATAGGACCCATGGAGGGGATGGGGGGGAAGTCTCGAGATGCAGAGAATTCTCTATACATGGGTATGTATTTGGTATCATTATCAATTTATATCTGTAAAATCAAATAAAAATGATTTTTTAAAAAAGGGGGTTGTAAACGTAGGTGGAAGGGGGCAGAGAAATCTAAAATGTGCAGCCTGTGAGTTGTTTTGTGCAACTCAGATGACTGTTATGTACTGAGTTGAATAGGATCCAAAATGCAGCAGTCTGATTGGTCCTAGAGCAATAGGATTCAGAATGCAGCAGTCTGATTGGTCCTAGAACAATGCAGCAGTATGATTGGTCCGCAGGAGCCACCCAATCCAGCTCTAGGTGAAAGTGAATCCACAACCTGATTGGCCTCCAGGAGAATCCCAGAATTAGCCAATCACGTGCGACCCATTGTGTAAATAATGTATATAAAGCAGATATTGTGGGGGAACTTCCATTCCTCCTCACCACTATGAGCTGAATAAAGAGCATGAAATCCAATCTCGATTCCGAGTATATTTCAGTGACATTAGACAGTAGTGAAGTAAACCTGCTAGTACTGAAGGAGGCTCAGAACTTCACTGTATTCTTTGCTGCAACAAACTAATGCAGCTACTCCTATGGAAATTATCACTCTTAATATTGTAGGCATGGTTGGGTTTAGGAGCCATGCACACAGCACAGCAGAAGAGGTAAAGTGCACAAAAACAGTTGTCTAAATAAATATTTCTCATGTTAGAAGTTCACATTTTATCACATCTATATACATTCCTTGGGGAAATTTCCTTCCTTTCTCCTAATACTAGAATGACCTTTGGGGTCATCCAACTCTACAATTCTGTGAACCCCCTGCGATGCAGGAATCTCAAGTAAAGTAGCCATGACAGATGACCACCCACCCACCTCCAATGAAACCTCCATATGATGGTCTTCACTAGCTTAAATGGCTTCAAGAGAGGATTTGACAAAATGGCTGGAAACCTGAATAGGGGGACTCTACACTGTAACATGTGGTTAGAACTGTAGTGTTTAAAAGGAGTTCAACAGTCATCTAGTCCAACCCCTGTTATGCAGGTCCATACACACAGCAAACTCAGTGCCAATCCTAATGTAGCCAAAATTGCCCCTTCATGCACAAAAATGAGGTAGCAGCAGACTTCAGGAGACCCCACAGTTTGCACAAGTACAAAAAAAGTACAGAGTTATGAGTTGAGGGAGGAGAATGGAACGGAGTATCCCATGAGGGATCATGTCTGGCTTGCTGGAACTCTGATCAGGGCCAATAGAGATTGCAACATTTTGTTGTAGGTCCTGCCTGCTAATGGCTATTAGCCAATACAGTGGTACCTCTGGTTACGTACTTAATTCGTTCCGGAGGTCCGTTCTTAACCTGAAACTGTTCTTAACCTGAAGCACCACTTTAGCTAATGGGGCCTCCCGCTGCCGCCGTGCCGCTGGAGCACAATTTCTGTTCTCATCCTGAAGCAAAGTTCTTAACCCGAGGCACTATTTCTGGGTTAGTGGAGTCTGTAACCTGACGCGTATGTAACCCGAGGTACCACTGTATAGCTACCGGTAAATGGAATGCCCAGGTTCAAAGGGTGTATATGATGAAGTATCTGTTGCAAGAGGTGCTGTGAGGAGGCAAATATCAGGAGAGGGCTACTGCTTTCATAGCATAGTTTTCCCCAAATCATCATCTTTGCCACTGTGGGATACAAATGTACTGTGTTCATTTGCGTTTTTATAATTTTTTATTTACTGAGAGCCTGAAGCAAAAATTTTAGGAGATAATAAACATGCAATTAATCTCTTCTGTAGTGTCTAGACCAGTGTTTCCCAACCTTGTGCCTGACTAGCAAGACCAGTGGCAAGGGATGATGGGAATTGTAGGCCAAAAACAGCTGGAGGCACAAGGTTGGGAAACACTGGTCTAGACTAATTTGGCTCATGAGTGATAATTTCATTGTTGGTGCCCTTTCTACACACATTGAGGGAACTTCTATAGACAATACTGAGCTAGATTTACCAATACAGTGGTACCTCTGGTTACGTACTTAATTCGTTCCAGAGGTCCATTCTTAACCTGAAACCATTATTAACCTGAGGTACCACTTTAGCTAATGGTACCTCCCGCTGCTGCTGCACCACCGCCACGCAATTTCTGTTCTCATCCTGAGATAAAGTTCTTAACCCGAGGTACTACTTCTGGGTTAGCGGAGTTTGTAACCTGAAGTGTTTGTAACCCGAGGTACCACTGTAGTCTAAGGCAGCATAAGGAATCTTTCTATGTTCGGGAACACAGAAATGTAGGTTCCCAAATGCAGGAAGAAGAGCAAGGTTACTGAATGTGTGGAAGAAAGCCCTCCACATGTATAGTTGTCTGAGCAGGGGTCTTTTCAGCACTGCAGTGAATGTGTGTATATCAGCCTGCTGCTACACTGCTGCCTACCTCTCATGACTATTAAAATGTCTGACTGGGGTTGAGCACCTTTATAGGGTGATCCAAGGCAAAGGTGGACATGGTTCCTGTACTTTTAATAGTTGCACAGAACAGAGAATTTTGGTATGTGCGACTTTTAACATTGGGATTAAATAGTAGCTGCACTTCCGGAAGTTTTCTTTTCTTCACATCTTTATGCATGAAAACATCAGTTTAAAGAACTGAGCAGAAGGACTCACATGTGACAGCAGAAAGGGAAGAATCATAACTTGGTGGAGAGAACATGCTTTGCATGCAAAAGGTCCCAGGCTCAAAACCTGGCATCTGTAGTAGGGCTGGGAAAGATTCCTGCCTGAAACCCATAATAGCTGCTGCCAGTCAGTGTCAGTGATACCAAGCTGGATGGATCAGTAGCCTGACTCAGTGTGAGAAATTTCCTGTGTCTCTTTTAGTGCTCTTCCCTGACGTGTATTGGTGCAACAGTTAAAATGCTGCTGCACCAGAGCCACCTCAGCTCCCAGCTTCCAGCGTGCCAGGCAAAAGGCTCGCTCACATAATTTTGACATAAGTGGCAGTGGCTACTTATATATAAATCTAAGAGCCAAGAACAGTCAGTCTCTCCATAGTCCCTTAGGCTAGTACAGTTGGACGTCTCTATACCACTTGCCAGTAAGAGGATGCATGTTCAGGAGCAATGACGCAAGCAACTGTTTGAATTCTTGAGCTGATCATCCAAACTTATTCAACAAAAACAACAACGTTGTGGTGTCCATCCATCCATTTACCTCTTTTGCTGCATTGTCTCCAATATCCATTGCTCCTAAGCTGTCAGACTGCATGGGTGGCTCTCAAACCACCATTTGTGAGTTTCTGCAGCGGGTATGTATAATATTTAAAACATTAGTATATAAATAGCTTCCACCTCTTGGTTAGATCTCCCAAACACTGGGAATGTTGTGGTGTTGTTTATTTTTTCAGCATTATTTTTTCTACTTGGTCCCCCCTCCCCTTCAGCTTCTCTTTCTCTTCAAAGGTGGTGATGTTTTGATCAAAACACTGAGCATCAAAACTTGTGTGTTTTACAGACTGTGCAGCAGGAAACCCACCTCCTACAACCCCTCTGCTCTCCCCACTTCCTGTTCAAGTACAATGCATGTGGCAGAGAAAAGGCGTCACCGAAATGCAGAAATGTAAACAACTGTCAGAACTCAGAAAAATTAAAGGTCTTATACTGTGTTGATTTAAAGCGCAACACCGATTCCAGCCAACACTGATTTCCTGGTCGTGATGGAAGCCAAGAGGATGACCATGAAAATATAAATTGAAACTTAGGAAATGCTGGATTACTTTTTAAATATATGTGCATCTGTATCAAAAGAGTTCTTGGTTGCCAGCTATGAGGTAGGAAGTGATTCCATTTCTTTAAATGTAAATAGCAAAAAAAAGAATTCATGTCCTAAGGGCTTGCTAACGTGTTGCCTTCCAGATGCTATAAGCAAGTTGGGGTGGTTAAAATAAGATGTTTTTATGCTGAAATCCAAAGGGATATATACAGTCATGTGGGTAATACTCAGGACCTGAAAGAGTAAATACAGATCTGACTACTGGTTGGTCTGGGATGATATGTTTTATTTTTAAAATCAACTGGCTTTTAAACATGAGACTTTTAGAATAGGCATTTTTCATGCATTTTTTGGCTTTACTGTTTGTGGTGTTTTGCTTTTCCTTCCACTGGTGTTGCTTTTTTGGCTTTTGTTATTCTATTATTCCTCCAATATTGGTGCTGTTTTATATTTTGCATCTTGGGTTCCTGGAGCCACATCCTGAGTTCAAAGTGTGTGATTGCATGGGTGTATCTGTGTCAGTCACGGTGTTTACCTGCGAACTTCATAAGCAACCATTTTGAAAAGTATGGTGTGCACACCCACATATATTTTGCATGCCAACCTAGACTGTGATTTATACTTACAGGCACCATCTCAAAGGCATATGTTTATTGTGTTCTGCAATCAGTTCCTG